CTGTACTACCACTACTACTACTGCTGATACTACTACTACCGGTCTCGTATTACAGAATGCTGGGGTTTTCGTTTGCTGCAGTGAGCCTAAAACGAGACTGTTACCGCTGTCCCTACACAACTAATAACCAATGCATCATTACTCGACAAAGGTTTTAGCCAATAGGTGGAACACGGTCACAGTGCTCTTGTCGGACCTAAGAAAAAGTCTAGAATCAGTTTCCCATGGCTGGTCCTAGAAATCCCCATACAGTCCTAGAAACATGTCTACACAATATTTGCCCCTGCGCATAAAATCAACCAAAAAATGAGTCTCTGTCCTTTCGCCGCATGCTGCTCACTAGAACCAGTTGCCATGACCATTGGAATAATGATCAAAAGGGCGCGGGCTCGAGTGGCAGATGTCCACACATTTGATGTTGGGTATGGCTGGTCGATGACAGCTAGTAGGCCAGAAATGGCCATTCTAGTCTCCCTTGTCTCCATCGGCAATGTCTTTCTAAACAAATTGTGCTGAAGGCCATTTTTAGACGGTTCAGGGTCAATCCTGAGAAATTATAGTCAGACATAAGCACCATCAGTAATTGTGCCACTGCTATTTTTCGTAGCAACAAAACGATTTGATTTCAGCTTAGACAGTTATTCTAGAAAATGATGAAATGGAAAAAGAACAAGAAGAAGAGAGCGAGGAGGAGGAGGAGGAGAAGTAGGAGTAGGAAGGAATGATTGCAGTCCTGGCAGACAGTCCGTGCAAAATGTGCGACAGCGCCAGCCTGGGCTAGACAACTACACGAATCTTTCAACTTACTCCAGTTTAGACCGAACAGTCTCCTTGCGCTGAAGTTCATCGATTATCCTGTTGATCTGGGCATCCACCTGCTCCTTCCGTTTGGCATTGTTTTCACGCACATTCTCGGTTTCCTGGATTTCCATTTCAGTTTTCTGCTTTCTCCGCTGGAGTTCCAGCCGCGAGAGACGGTTGTCGTAGTAACCACCTGTCAGAGTTCCTTTGCGAGACACCTGGTCACCTAAGGAGAGTTTGAGGGAGGCAGTTTGGTTAAACGGCAGATCGAATAAATGAGCAAAAAAATCCACTAAGCTAAGGCCTGTTTAGCGCGATCCGAGCTGGCCCACCTCTTCGCACATTGCGATCGAAGGAGACATAGTGGGCCAACGCCTGGATGGGGTCAAGCATTTAATTAGCCACTTTAAAATCAACACAACACTTAAACTGTCGTGCCCCACTGAGTGGGTGCAGCATCGGTGACTTGCACGTGGGTTAGTTTATAGTGAGACGAACTTGCACAGCATCTAAAGTACTCGATATTCTTTCACCTGTCAGGTTCTGACGACAAGGCAACCAGTGGGGGGCAGAGGTGTGGTGGCCGGTGCAGCCAAACAGCTCGACTGCGCACGATCTGACCTTCGCCTCATGTGGGAATTGCTAATTATTTAGAAGAAAAAATTGTCACTCATGGGAGAAAAAGATACACGAGATAGGACCCTCATGTCGATGAGGTCTTGTGAAGGTTTGAAACGCTCCTCGTCGTGGATGAAATGATATAACAGGGGAAAAAAGTTTGCTACCATATAACCGTACGATCAGCTGCAGGAGGTACCATCAAGAAAGCGAGACAGGGACCCTTTCTCGGATTGAATCGACAAGGATGAAAAGTCACTGTGTAAGCACATTACTTTTTAATCCACGTCACAGCCACTGACAGTAATGTGTCAGGCTGGTGCCCCTAATCTGAGTTCAGCCTTTCGAAGAAAGCGAAGTGGAAAGGAATCTGCATTTTAAACAGCTCACCAGGCGGTTGAACTGCTGCTTGAGCAAGAAAATGAAAAAAATATTAACGACAAAACTGGGGATCCAGCACAACACGCTTGTTAGATCTACTTGTCTTAACTTACTGGAAGCCGAAATACGGCTTTAGAAGCCGTGAATCAACTAACATCGAGTTTTTAAAGATATGCGTACACAAACCCACCATCAAGAGTGATGCAGTCAAAATTCTGCCTTCGAGCCAACTGGGCAGCCACGTCAATGCTGCTGCAGATTAGGGTCTTCCCGAAGATGTGTAGCATCACTGGGCGAAACTTCTCATCAAACTTCAGTCGCGATATCATTGGGATAGCACCCTCAGTCTCGGGATAGCGGAACTCCTTCACTGAGAGCCGGTTTATGGGCAGAAAGTGCACCTCACCCGGCAGATTGTGCTTGTTGATCTCTGCAATGATTCGGATCACATACTTGTCATTCTGCACCACGTGGTAGAAGAGGCGAGAACCCGCGGTCACCTCCACGCTGGTGTAGAAGTCCTCGGGGCACTCGAGCAGTTCGATCAGGGTACCG